TGAAGGGTGATTCTCAAAAATCTGTATTTTCTGCAAGCTTTTTTCAAGATAAATTTAGATGTCTTTCCAAAAAAGGACTCCAAAAGGACACCAAAGAACCAAATGATATAAAGAGCCCATACAAGCACATATGAAAGAAAAAAAAAATCTGAATCGTATAGTATGTGTACAGTGCAACAGCAAATTGCTTTTTTACGTTTTAGAGAAGTCAAGTTGCGATACCGAACAGGACCACATGGTGATACACACAAGCGTGTGATGTGTGAGGGCTCACGCTCTTCAGAGACAATCACAGAATATGACAGAGCTTGTGTTTAAAAGCGAAACACACTGGAATGAATAATTCACTGAAAACGCAACGCAAGTCTCTTTTCTCTCCGCAATCTCTGATGTAATCAGCCTGATTTTCTTTATTAGCGCTGTTTTGGACGGATTGTTTGAATGCATTCGCTTACTGGAACTTTCCCGGTGTTTAGCGGCTTAAAATGAAAATTGGGTTAAAGGGTTAGAATAGAAACTGTCCTTCAGTAATTTTGCATTAAATTATTTTAACGCAAGGATTGTAAAATTAATCGCATGCGTTAACGCGTTAACGTTGACAGCCCTAGTTTTTTTGCAGCAAATCAGCATATTAGAATGATTTCTGAAGCATCATGTGACACTGAAGACTGGAGTAATGATGCTGAAAATGTAGCTTTGTATCACAGGAATAAATTACATTTTATAATATATTACAATAGAAGACAGCTATTTTAAATTGTAATATTATTTCACAATATTACTGTTTTTACTTTTATTTTTAATTAAATAAATGAAGCCTGGGAGAGACTTTCGAAAATAAACTTTTGAATGGCAGTGCACAATTGAGAAATTGATTTGCTTGTAGCATTGTATGAGGAACAGACGATAATTTAAGCTATTATTTGTATGTTATATGTATTTATATGTATTTCCCTGCATCGTAGCTCTTGAACAGCATTTGTGCTCACATTCAAAACCGACACCATCAGTCAAGGGATAAACATGAACTGACGTCAAATCTAGAGGCATCTCATTTAAATGTGCACATTCTGCATCTCTTTTTTAGTTTGACCAAATTAAATCATATGGATTTGAAATGACATGCATAAATGATGACAGAATTTTTAACTTATGCTTAAAGTTTTTTATAGAGGAACTCACACTGTCCAGCTAACATCAGTAGGTGCTGGATTGGCATCAGCTTGGCAGGTCAAAACGGCATCAGTCCGACCCATATACCAGTTACTGTCATATCCTTCTATTGTCACAGTGGGTGGATCTAGAAAGAATGTGAGATTGAGAGAGAGAGAGACATCCATCTGTAAATCCTGCATTGAAAGCACAGTTCAAAGGCTGGTTATCTGCGTTCAGGGGTGGGAAGAGAAGATACAGGTTTGCTGAAGGTGGCACTGCCCTATAGACTCTCAAAGTGCTTTGGCACGCTGGAGAAATGCAAGAGAATGAAAGTGCAAGAGGTGAGGATGTTCCATCAGGGGCGTTTATAAAAAGGAAACGGTGAAGCTGCAAATCTCTGACATCCTCAAACATTCCAGCTCAGCTATGCAAACACAGACACCTCAAACACTCTGTAAATAGCTTTTATGAAAAAAAAAATAAAAATGTGAACAATGTGTTGAGGCTGACATGTGAGGCAGAGGCGAAGATGCTTAAATGCATTTTTTGATGAAACGGGGGGTGGGTGAGGGACAAAAGGTGTTATGAGCGAATGATACGGGAGGGATTATGAGTTCACATGTGTCCCTGAGAACAAACACACTTCTTTAAAGGATTAGTCTGGCCAGAAATGAAAATTCTGTCCTCGTTTACTCAGTTTTATGTCGTTCCAAAACCATATGACGTTCGTTCTTCTGTGAAACACTAAAAGAGAAGTTTTGAATAATCTGCTGGTCGGCTTCTCTTTTCTATAACAATGAATGGGAACTGAAGCTTACAAGAGGCTTTCAATGGGGCAGTCGTGGCCTAATGGTTAGAGAGTCAGACTTGTAATCCAAAGGTCATGGGGTCGAGTCTTGGTACCGGCAGGGGTTGTAGGTGGAGGGAGTGAATAACCAGCTCTCTCTTCCACCCTCAATACCACAACTGAGGTGAGACCCTTGAGCAAGGCACCGAACCCCCATCTGCTCCCCAGGCACCTGGCTGCCACTGCTCAGGGTGTGTGTTTGTTCACTACTCACTGCTGTGTGTGTGCACTTGAATGGGTTAAATGCAGAGCACAAATTCTGAGTATGGGACACAATACTTGGCTACATATCATGTCACTTTCAAGCTTCAAACAGGACACAAAAGCACCCAAAAAGTCTTGGGAAGGTATCATTAACATACGGTAGCTTTGTGAGTGATGGAGCAAAATTTAAGTCAATTATTGATTGATAATCTTCCCCTCCAGTGAACTACTACCTAGTAGGACAGGATCGAGTGAAAAACGAATCACAAATGAATCATTCAGACCAGGGTTGTGCTCCCCCAAAAGCACTGATATTTTACAAAAACTAAATATTTTTTACTTGAAATAAAATAAATGTTAACTGAAATAAAATAGAATAAAACGTTAAAAAAAGAAAAACGTTATTTTCTTTACTTCAAATTTATATTTCTAACATCCGTTTAACTTGACATACTGCAATAACTACAACTAAAATAAAAATTAATAAAAACTATAGGCATATTAAAAAACTAATAAAAATGACCAAAAAATTAACTTTGAAAACAGAATATAAAAATTAAAAATAAAAACTGTAACCGTTATATTTCCCCAATAAAAAAACTGTAGGAGTTATTAATAAAAACAATCAAAACTGTAACAGTAAACATTAACTGAAATAAAATAAAACTAAAAAAAAAAGAAAAATGAACTGATTTTATTTGCATTAAATTTATATTATTAACATTAGTTTAACTTGACACTACAATAACTAAAATTAAAAATGCAAATTCATAAAAATGACAGACATAAAAAAAAACCAATAAATGGCAAAAACATTTAAATTAAAATTTTCACTTTAAACTTTCAATTTAAAATGAAAACAGAAATATAAAAATTTAAAATGTACAATTAATAAAAACTAACAGTATCTCGATGATATTAAAAATACACTGACTGGCACCAACGGTCTCTACAATCTACTAGTTTGCAACGTTTTTTAAGTGAACTTAGAAGATTATTCATTGCTACTTATCTTTATTTTGTTATTTTAGAGCTTGACAGTCCTCAAAGCCCTTACTTTCAATATACTGAAAAAGCCGACCAGGGTTTACTTCAGAAAGTCACTCTTTGTGTTCCACAGAAGCAAGTCATATGGATTTAATAACTACTCCTCGCAGTGTGTGAGAGTGAGAGAGTGAGTGAGAGTGTGTGTGTGTGTGTGTGTGTGTGAGAGAGTGAGTGTGTGTGTGTGAGTGAGAGTGAGT